CCGCCCCGGGCCCCGCACCGGCCGCGCGTCGCTTTATGCGGCCGGAGCGGGGGGGGCCGCGCGGCCAGGAAGCCGAGCGGGGGTGGGCGGGCGGGGAGGGGAGCGGAGCGGGCGAGCAGGCAGGGAGGGAGAGAGGGAGGCAGGCGGCAACGAGGGGGGTGTCGGCAGGGACGGTGGGGCGGCTGCCCCCGCCGCTGTCCCGCTCTCTCCGCGGGGCCCTCCTCGCTCCGGCTCCATTTTGCGGCCTAGGCAGGGATGGGGGCAGCAGGCGGAGCTGCCCCGCGGCCGGCGGGCATCCCTCACCGCCGGCTGAGAAGCAGCGGGCACTCGCGGGGCGCACGGCCTCCCGCCATCCCTCCGTCTGCGCTCCGGCCGCGCTCGCTGTGCCCCGGGGCCGCGGCTTTGTGGCGGCCGCGCCGGGCGGAGGGGGCTCCGCGCTCTTTTGTGTCCGCCCGCCGAGCCGCCTCCCCTCGCCGCGGGAGTGAGGGGCCGCGACCCCCACCACACCCACGGCCCCTAGCCGGGCCGAGAGTCGGGTAGCGGCGCCACAGCGGCCCGGTCTCTCTTCCCGGTCCCCCCCGCGCCGTTGTCGGGACCGAAATTTCCTGGAAGGCTTGGTGGTATTTTGCAGGGATGAGGAGCGTAGGGTGAGGCCCCGGGATGTGGTGCCAGTACGCGGCTGGCCGTGCGGGCGGCAGTGCGAGGCCTTGGTGGGCTGCACGGGGGCCCGGCGGACGCACCCGGCCGGCCCCGGGCAGGTGCGGGCAGCGCGGAAATCACAGCCAGGGTGACCAACAATAAAGTTGCTGATTAACTGAGGACTCGTCGTCTTGTGCCATTTGTAAACAAGGGGTCACGATAGACGAGTTACCTCTCGAACACAGGCCAGCTGGGTGCCAGGAAGGCTTGGAGGCTGTTGTTGTAAGTAGGAAGGTGTCACCCTCGCCTCAGCGCTAGCTGCGTTTGCATCATTGAAGGGCATGAAATCAGGAAATGGGATCGATCGGCTCGCAGTGGCACAGAGGCAGCTAGGTGGCTGCCTGGGTGGCTGTCCTGTGACACACATGACAGATGGGAGAGAGACGGGACTCTGCCATTATCAATATCTGCACAACTTTTCGGTGTGTGGGAGGTGTTCTTGGGCAGACCTGTGTGTGCTAGCCACTGTACTGCCTCCAGAAATTAGGTAGTTGGTGATACTGAAGAGTACTGTGCAGGTTATTCACGGACAATCCTATTGGAAAACCACAAAAATTCATGTGTTCTAGTAGTGTTTCTGCGGCTATGATATATATTCTGCAGTACAGCAGCAGTACAAAATCAACTTCTAGCTTTACCAATTTCTTTGAGGCTTAACCAAAAAGATTTTTTTCTGAAAAGAACTGTCAGATAAAAGCTACCTAGTGTACTTGGGTTGCTTTTGGGATGGCAAAATTACTGATAACAATGATCTGAACATTTTTAGGCAATGAGGAACACAGAAATCTGTGTTTCAGTCCATTCATTGACTATTTCCTTGGCATCTTGGTAGATGGCAGTTACTGTCAATGAAAAAAAAATTTCAGCTTTCTCAAAAGAAGCTCTGGCAAAATGATCGGAAAAAGGAAAATGGCAAACACCACTTTGGGCAGTATTCAGAGTCTGGCTTTAATTGGCTTGCAGGAATGGAGAAATTGTATCCATATATAATCATTAGCATACTGTTCCTAAACAATAAGCTAGTGCTTTCTTTTTTTCTTTGCTTATGTGGCCTGTGGCATGACAGTTGCAAAGTAAAGGCAAGATCCATCTACAGTTCTGTAGGACACCCAAGATGGCTCAGTCTGAGCTGTCCTGAGGCCTGTGTGAGTTGCTTTTGTGCTGTGCATTGAGCAGGTGATTATACGTCATCTTGGCTGCTGGTATTTACAGCTATGGCATTATATTGGAAGAAGTTAGGAGCACTGGATGTTAATCTTTAGACTTCAGGATTTGACAGTCACAGCAGTTCAAAGCTTAACTCTTATTTGTAGTAATAATTACATGAAGGGAGGCAATGTTCAGAAATTGAATGAAAAATAATGTTTAAGATAATGTGAAGATATGAAACATTAAACACTGAAACTTTGAAAGTCTGGTACCTTGTTTTGTCAACATTTAAAAAAGGTTTGCAAGGTTCTTCCTTTAGTGCTTTCAAATATAAATCTAATGTTGCTCCACCTTTACAATTTTGCTAGGAAGAAGCTTGACTTAGTACTGAGTTTTGCAGTAGTGTTTTGAAGAAACTTAGTATATGGAAATCGATGTTTAGTGGCAGGATGCTTGTAAAAAGAGCAAAGCATGGCTATATATGCCCATAAACAATATGGGTAAATAACAATGGTAGAATAAAAGCAAGTGTCAGCAAATTCAATAGTTTTGGCCGAAAATAGGCTGGTCTGAAGCTAGTTCAGTCTGCTCTGAACCAGTTTTGTAAAACTCTTACTTGCCCTGTTGCTTGAGAGGAAAAAAGCTGCTTGGCGTACTTGAGTTACTACCTCAACAAAGGAAAAATAACCTGCTTTAAAATGTTATCAAACTTCTAAAAGGAAAAAGACAGGATTTATGGATTGCTGCTTTAATAAACAGATAAGCTTAGTTTTTTACAAGAAATACTAGAAAAGTATCAAAAACTTACTATTGAAAGGTGATACGGGGATTTCAGTCAGGTTGCTGAAGGAAGGAGGTCCTAGTGCAGTGTGTTCAGCACTGCTTGCCTTTTCCAACTTCTGCAAAAGCAATTAAACTGCCTCAATTCCTCTGCTCATCTTGTTTATTTTCTCCTCCAGCTTCTCTCTTCTACTACCAAAAAAGAGAAAGTGTGGAAACTCCATTTCTCCTGCTTGCTCTGTATCACTGACCCTCTCTTTCTTGATGTGAAAATGCATGCGGTATTAGTCCAGCGATATATATTGGAGCTAACAGTGCTTGTGGATATTAGCCAGCCTGGGAAGGAGCCACCAGCTGCTCTAGCAGAGCTGGATCCACGTGGAGGGGCCTGTGGTCAGTGGCACTGGGGCTTGTAAGATAAGGCATAAAGTTGATAGAGTGTTACATGGAGTGGGAAGGTGTAAAGGTGGCAATGCCTTCTCTGGATTTCATAAGAGAAAGTTTCCTCCCCATGGGCCAGGGGAAGGATTCTGGTACAGCCCAGATGCTAATGAGACTTGGTGACACTGTCTGGTCCTCTCAGCATCAGTCTGCTTTTCCCAGTGTTATTCTGCTGTGGGGGAAAACACTGAATGTAAGGGATTAGAGAAGCCTGAGATGGAGGCAGAGTGCAGCATCTGGTTTTGTTCTAGCTGTGTGCGAAGGGGTTTAGCATTATATTTTTGTGTGTCTGCTGGAACAATGTCCTGTGAATGCTTTCACCAGTTGGTATTTCTTATATACCTGCAGGTGAGAATTTAGTGGGAAATTAGGGTCCCCAGAAGTCACTGAAAAATAGAAGGAAATTGAAGGTGTATTTTTAATTGAAAAATCTTTCTGCTTAACAGGCAAGGGTGCAGAAAGCTCAAATAAAACTCTGTGTCTCTGCTATGTACTGATTCACAGCTTTACATCTCCTGTGACAAGATGTGGCAAAATGAGTGATGTGGTTACTACCTACAGCTTTAGTTATTGTTTCTGCCCTGCTTCTTTGGCAGGCATGACTGCATGAAATGTGTACCAAGTTCATTGCCAATCATTTTCTACTGCCCCTCTCATAGGGTAGCAATTTTGGGAGACAGGGTGAATAAATACCACATGAAACACTTCAATCACAAGAGGTTTTTGGTTTCCATTAAGGAGGTCAGTTTGTCAGTCATTGCCAGATAACTTCCTCTTTCTGAAAACAAAAATCTTGTTTCTTCAATTTTTTTTTCTTCTTTGTTTTTGTTTTATACTGATCTAAGCTTTAGTCCCTTCTTCTCAGTGCTAGCAGGCTTGGGCTTGTATTCTTCTATTGTTATAATTTAGCTGAGCCACTGATATTGACTGCACTCTTAAGAGAGCTTATAAGATTAAACAGGATGCAAGATTTACTTTGAGATACTGATGTTTTATTAGTTTAGTATAGACATATTATAGGAACAGTCTGAGTTATGGGCAGCTGACAGGAGCAAATTTTTTTAAGCGTCCTCAAGAATATTTATACCAAATGTCAGTGTAAACATGTGTGTTCACTCATGTGCCTCTTATCACTGAACCTTCTTTGATGCTCTTGAAATGTTTCTCTTATAACATATTTCTTTGGTTAATTTCCATGCATCAAGTAGTTTGTATATCCCTAGTAATATTCTTTTTTTATTAGAGAGAGAAAAACCAAACAGAAAGCCGCTAACAGAAAGCATTGTGCTGCAGCTCTGTATTCAGATTTTTCTTTTGCAGTGTAGTGCTGAATGTTTATGTCCTGTACTTGTTTACTTTCCCTGGTTGTTGATAAAATCAGATAGTGGCATGGTCATTTTAGAGACTGACATGTCACTTCTGATATGCTTAGCTCTCGGTCTTGATTCAGTCCATGTGTATGCATGGAGGAACTTCAGTGTCTTCCTAGCACTGGAGGCTGAGGATAATGTACAACCTGTAGTAATTGCTTCCTGCAGTTATGCACTGCACTTGCTGCTGGAGGACTGAGGTGCTGGAAGCCCTCCCTCGTGCAATTTGGCAGCCACACAGAGGTAGGAGATGCTCTCGTATTAAAAGGCACTGCAATGTTTGCATCCTGAAACTGCCATGCAAATGTGATGTATAATATGCAAATGGATACTTCTCCTTAAAGCAAGTTATAACAACTCGGCAGTCTGAAGCAAAATCTGAGAGGAAAGTTCTTGCTCACCTGAACCTTTTAGGATTATATCTCCCAGGATTTTGCCTGTTCTAGCATCTACTTCCATCTAAAGTAGTAGGTCTTCCTACTAAATGGGCCAATATAAGAATTGTTGGCCTTTTTAGTCTCTCAGTGACTGCAGTTAGTTATGCGAGGTGTTGTTTCTGTGTTATATTGGACTGTTGCTTTTTCCAGAGCAACTTCACAGACACAGAATTTAGTTTGTGTCATGGTTTTAGTGGGTTTTATTGGTTGTTTGGAGTGTTTGTTTAAAGGAGGGAGATTAATTAGCAACAGTGTAGTGAGAAGAGTGTTTTCTGAACATTGTTATATGTGTTACAGAACTTATGCTGAGCTTGACAATCAGATAATATGGTGATTGACTGGAGTTTTGAACATCTGAAATGAAAACTGTAATGTGTGAGCATGTAACTGTTTGTTATGAGATGACTGGGATAGCAGTGGTCACATTTTCCTGCAAGGTCATGTTTGTCATCCATCGGGCTCAAAGAAATACTAGTAGGGTGACTTGGATGGCATATTAATTACAGTTGCTATATTCAGATGCCTGGATCTAGATTTGAATTGAATGACAACTCTGGCTGAGTTCTTCCATCAACTTACTTTAATTGAAGTAGTGTGCTGAGATCCCCTCCGTCCCTCATGGTGTGGTCAGCCGGGCTGTGGAAAAGGCTTGTGGGGCAGCTGTGCCAGCTCTGCCTGTGGTGGCCTTCAAGATGTGGCTGGAGAAAACCCTGAGTACCCTGCTCTGAGCTTGGAGCTGCCTTGCTTTTAGTAGGGGCTGTAGTGGAGACCTCCCACAGTCACTTCCAACATGAATTACCCTGTGGGCCTGGATCAGGACCTGGTTATGCTGAGCATTATGCAGAAGGTTGTTAGTGCTGTCCCTAATCTCCTGTCCCAAGGTTGTCCTGGCAGCTAAAAATCTTTCTTCAAGTAATACTGACAGAAGTAATTTCAGTTGATGTTAAGCTGTCAGTGCCTGTTTTCTTTATCTGAGTCAGATCTCTGTTTTTTTGTTGCAAACCTTTTCCTGTCAATTTTGCTAATCACTATTTTAGATTCATAGTGCTGATAAATGTCCACACAAATTCCCACTAATGGAGAAATAATACATCCTGTAAGTAGATCTGGAAATGTGCACGCAGAAAAAAATAGAAGCAAAGGTATTACCTTGAGAATGCATTAGTCTAATATGACCAAAATGTCTGTAGATGCAGCAGAGATTTGAAAGAGACTCAAGCAGGAATTGTCTTTTGAAGGCAAGCTGGGCTAATGAAAGCAAGGTGATTTCTTAGTGTTGCTGGGTCTTGGCAATAAAGATTCAGATGGAGTAGCCTGCAGGAGAGGTGAGCAGAAACCAGATAGTTATCACATCATGGCAGAAATTTGAAGAATATTGCAACTCTGGATGAAGGAAATAATTTATAAGGAACGTTTCACAGAAGAATGGAAAAAAAAAAGAGGGAAAGAAAGATCAAGGTATTTAAAATACCTTGTACTGGGGCTGGTAAAGATTGAGATCCTGAATTAAATTCCAGCAGGGATCAGAGAGCCAAAACTGAGAAGAAGATTACCAGAAAACTCTAACTTAATTTTGGAGGTAGCTTTTGGTATTTACCAGACTACAATTTTAATTGTTTCAAAGTGCAGAAGGGAGAGAGAGGCACAATTCTCTTAATGATGTGTGATGTCAGTTTTGGTGATCATGACATGCAGGATTGTGATATCCTTGCATTGTCATTACAGTAAGCTGAGTAAGGAAACTGCAGGCCCTTTGGGAGATTGAAAAGCAAAGTTAAATCTCCCAACAAAGAATCTGCAAAATGTGGACAAAGTGAATATATGTGAAGGTTGGCACACAGAAGGTTAATGCCTAAAATACTCCCCTTCTTTTGGGTAGAGCTGCTGTGTAAGAAGTGAAGCTGGTTTACAAAAGCCCAGCAAAAGGGACCTGAAATTCTTTATATAAGTGTGTGTAATATTCTGCGCAATGAAGAATAGCTGGAATAGTCTTTTTCTCTTGGGCAGCTCCTAAGGCTCCATCCAGCTGTTGTTGGAATGTGAGCAGTGCTCGCCTTATTTGTGCATCTGTGGCCACTAGCAAAGTACAGATTAGTGGGAGGTTTAATGCTCATATTTCTGGGTAGGTGTAAAAATAACACAACATTGCTTCTCTCTCTCTCCCCCTCCTTCTCTCCCTCTTCATGGGTGTGCAAAAAAGTGAGTTCTGTGGTCTCACTGACAACAACCATGTGATCCTTCAAAGACACCAAGGTACTCAGTGGGTGTGGGATCAGTGAGTGAAGTCAGCTGGGCTCTGCCTCTCCAGGGGATGTGTGTGTAGCTTGTCAGTAGGAAGGAGGGCAGCACAGGCTCTTTTGGCTTCCCTTTTTCTCTTGGCATTTAAGTTACCTATTACACTGTGACCACCCCCATCTCCAAACCCTCATGAAGAAGTCTTCTTGTTGGCCACCACATCAGAACCTTTAGAGAAGAGCACCTAAGGATGCCCAGAGAGTGAGGCAGGGCAGGACCAGGTAATGCTAAAATGTGACTCAGAAAGCACATAGGAGTAACTGGTGTCTCAGGGAGGATGAGGGTGCAGAGCTGGTCCCATGGTCTGGCTAGAAGTTTGTCAGTGGGCTTGACAAACCAACATGGAGGGTAAAGGTGAGTGAAGGATGCATTCTGTGTAGGAACTAATGGGTAAAGCATTCAGAGAACAGGGGGCTGGTATAGGTTTTGAGGGTTGTTCAGAGACACCTTACATGTTCTGGTCAGACTTTCATGGAAGCTATGTGCTAGATAAACCAAATGATTCTGTGCATAGCCTGTGCCTCTGGCTGAGTTTTTTGAAAAGCCTCATAAAACAGTTGAACTATTTCCACTGTCAGTAAAACTCATTAATGACAGTGAGGATACTGTTCTCCAATAGCAAAATATTTATGCTTTGTATAAAGGGATCTCGTAGTTTGTGCTGGGTTTGAGTAATAGCTGCACTTAGTGATGTAACAATCGCACCTGAAAGGTTTCCTTCTTCTGGTTGTAGATGGATGGTGACAGCTCCACAACAGATGCTTCTCAGTTAGGAATTGCTGGAGATTACATTGGTGGCAGTCACTATGTCATACAGCCTCACGATGGTAAGAAGTGAGAGAGTAAATGCTACTATTTCTCTGCATATGTGTGTATACATATATTTTCTTCCAGTACTTGCATTATTCTCTGTTATCTTCTCTCAGGCTAAGAATTTGCTATTGTTGTTGTAATGCCTCACTGTATAAAGCATTTTCTGGAGTTTGAAGCGGGGAGGTTGGATTTTTTGATGTTGGCACAGAGACCTGGAGGGGATGACAAAAAAATTGACCTTATAGGAAGCAGTTTGTATTTTGACATGGCATTAATAATGGTTGTTGATCAGCAGCCATGTACACTTCTGTGCATAATGTGATAAAATGCTATCTTTATAAAGGTACCCTGATGTTGCATCTATTTTTAAAATTATTTCTATCATGTTAAAACACTGTGCTTTCAAAGGTCTTCATCCTTCAGTGTAAGGCTTTAAACTGAATTATTGCCTGCTGTCTATCAAATACAATTTCTGTTAACTTTTCTTCATTTCATTAGACACAGAAGACAGCATGAATGATCATGAAGATACTAACGGCTCAAAAGAGAGTTTCAGAGAACAAGATATTTATCTTCCAATTGCAAATGTGGCAAGGATAATGAAAAATGCCATACCCCAAACAGGAAAGGTAATACTGTTGTCTGGTAAAGAAAGTGTGTTAATGAGTTTTATTCCTTCCTCTCAGTGAAGTTGAGCTGATTAGAACAAGATATTTTTCCAAATAATGCTGGTTTGGTGAAGAAAAGTATTATAAAAGGAAAGGGAAAAAAGCCCCAGGAGCAGGAGGTGATTGAGACCAAGCCAATTTTTCTTAGATTTCTGAAAGCTTTTGATATCTGCTGTAATTAGAGTGTCCAGAACTGTTCTCCATAGGGCTTTCATGAGCTTTCTTGTTCTAAGGTGTGTTCTCTGAAATTGTCATAAAGGATCAGACTTGATGATAATCACTAAGAATATTTTCTATGCAATTGTCTTGAGAGATTTAGTCTGCTTTCATTGAGGTGCATAAAATTTGGAGTAAGTGAATAATATAAGTGGCTGAAATAGAAATCCAGTACTCATCCTGAAGGAGAGAGAATGGTTAGCCTTTCATCACCTGAATATTCACATACCCAAATGTCAAAGTGACCTAAGAAGTCTGCTTTATATCGTGGAGCAGATAAGGTCAGATATTGAAAGCCTTATTTATTTCTTACTTCTAAGAATAGACTTTTTAATCCATTCTGCTGAGCTGGTGATTGTATAAGTACTTCATCATTCTGGTGGTTTATCTTAAACCTTTGCAGGGCTCCTATGATTTGCTGTTTCTCTATTACATTCCAATACAATTCCAGCCACAGTAACATTTCCTCCAGCTAAAACTGATCTCTCTTTTTGGAGAACACTCTAAATAGAAGCAAAACATAATTTATTCGCATCTGCTTGTATTTTCATAGTGTTCAGGGCTTTCTGGAGATCTGGATGTTACATTTATAACTTTGCTGTGAAAAACTGTACCCTAGTCCATATTGTCATAAATTTTTAGTGATCAAGATGAGATTTTTCTTGAGAATTTAGCATATGGGATGTGGAGCTATCTTGAAAGATCAGGATGGTTTTTTGTAAAAAACTGCGAGGGAAGCTGCTGACTGATGACTTCTGAAAATCTCACCCTACATGTCTGAAAATATCAGAGGAGTTAGTGAAGACTCTGCACACAGTTATTGCTTCAATTTTTTAGGTTCTTCTCATGTGAAGAATAAGAATCTTAAGTATTATAATCTTCTTGTTGACTCCTGTCAGCTTCCCAAGTAATCATGAGTAATACTTGCTGTAATTTTAAGTCAGGTAAATGACTTTTGTCCAGCTGAAAGCTGTAATCAAATTTACTTACTTCATTCTTGCCAGGGGCATAGGTTGCTTCATTTGAATTCTCATGTGGTAGATTTATACCAGAATACTAAAGCATTAGAAAGACTTGCTGCTAGCTGTATATTCTAGTCCTTGAATCTAGGCAGGATAAAAATACTTGTCAGTGCTGAATTTGTGGGAATGTGATGGGGTAGGGTTGGAGCTACCAGGTCTCTTAAAAAGAAGGGGAAGTGGGCTGTGACATTGTAATGAACAGGTTTGAAGCAAGAAGCATCTGTGTGTGAAAGCCTGTATAGAACTTAGGACTTCAGGAGATCCTGGCTGTGCTGCTTGAAATAGTAAAACGTGGGTAAAATCACATTGCAGCTGGTCTTACATAGAGGAGTGAGGCCATCCAGTGGTTTGCTGTGCAGGTGTTGCCTAAATGGGTATTACCATTGGTTTTTGGGATGTTTCCTCTATTATTTGGTGTACTCTCTGGGGGGTTTGTGGTGAGTTTTTTCAAGTCTTGTGTGTTCATTAATGATTTTATGATACTTTTTTCCTTACTAGATTGCTAAGGATGCAAAAGAATGTGTACAAGAGTGTGTAAGTGAATTCATCAGCTTTATAACATCAGAAGCAAGTGAGAGGTGTCACCAAGAAAAAAGAAAGACCATCAATGGAGAGGATATTCTCTTTGCCATGTCTACCTTGGGGTTTGATAGCTATGTTGAACCTTTGAAGTTATACCTCCAAAAATTCAGAGAGGTTGGTATATATGGGTATTTGCTCATTTATTTAACCTGCTTGTGTTTATCCTTAGCTCTCTGTTGTTGTAACTGTATAATGGCTAACTTTCACAGTATCTCACAGCTCTTGGTCAGGGAGTAATATAATGTTTAAAAGTATTCCAGAGGATGTCAAGAGAAAAAGGACGAAGTAAGCATTTTGATTAGACTTGCTGATTCAGAGTAGTTAAAGCTTTCAACTGAATAAATGTTCTAATATATTGGTGGTAGTAAATTGCTCTGCTCTTTAAGGTGCCTATTAAGAATGTTTAATTCGATCTTTGGGTTCAGTCAGTATGTACTGACTGCATTCTCTGAGGAACTGGCCTAATGCCTATTGTTTGTCTGGACTTCAGGTCTGCAAAAGAAAAAAAACTGGTTTTCTCGTGTTGGAATAATGATTCACATGGAAAACTATCTGCTTCAATGGGTTTTTTTAAATTATTATTTTAGCCTGTCCCTCAATTTGCTTTTGATACATAGTACATGCTAGGTATGTGATTCAAATCAGTTAATTTAATTTAACCCTTCTCTGGCAGAAAGTGACTTTCTTCCTTTCAGCAATTTAGACCTTTTAAAAAAAAGGACATTGCTTCTGCTTGGGTTTTTTGTTCTGGTCTGCCTCCCCTGTCTAAATTGGCAGAACAGTAGATAAGGATGCTCTTCTGAGTTTTTGTTTTGTAAACCTGAGATTTTTTTAGTTCAGACTTGCTAACGATATTTGTTTTGCTGACAGCACTTGAAGCTTCCCCTTCCCAGAAGGTCATTTGCTGGATAACTGAGTAACAGGAGGTGTTATGTAAAGTTGGAGTAGTGCTGTGTGCTGTCTTTTTCCAGTTCTGTGTAGCAGTTGCACATGCTGTGATAGTTCTTTTAAAATGGCAAGTATTGCCTAACTAGTTCCAGTTCCTACCGAATAAGTCTGAAGTGGGTCTGTGATACTTTCATTCTTAATTGACCATTTTTGCAGATTATAGATACTGTGGTAGCAGAGTAGTTGGATTGGATTTTAATTGCATGGATGGCTTAAACAGCTTTGCTCATCAGTTTTAAATCTCCATTCCAGCAAGGGTGTCTTCAGGGTGAAATACTTCAGTTTTCTAACTGAGTATTTTGTCTGCAGCAAGCAGTTGCAGAGAATCTTTTTTTATGCCCACATTGTTTTTCTAGACGTTCTGATGTAATAGCATAGAGCATCAAACTTCAAACTTGTAAAACTGCATGCAGATGACTGGGGGCCTTGTCTTTCTATGCTGATATCCTTTCTGGCTGTAGTCCTTGATGAAAAGAAATTCCACATCTTGGTTGTCAGCTCTTAGTTTATGGTGATGGTGCTTGTGTGTGGTTGGTAAGCAAATGTTGCACATTCTTGGTAGGTGAGATTCTGTGATTTCTTTTAAATTCTCCTTCTGGATTACCACAGATTTTGAACTTTCTGCAGAGGGTGAAAAGCCTTTCTTAGAACCATACAGTCCTAGTGTGCCAAGTTTTTTTGTTTCAGGAATATGGCTAAGATAAAAAACACTCATGTAATATGCACGTTCTCAAATCCCTTAGAGTTTTAACAGTTCATGGGATTTCAAGCTCCAGCTGTTGCACTGTGACTCTTCTGCAAGTTTCAAACCTTGGCTAGAGCTCCTGGGGCTTTGAAAAAAATCTCAAGCTTTTTTTTTTTGCTCTCTTCTTAGGCAATGAAAGGAGAAAAGGGAATTGGGGGAACAGTTACAACTGCAGATGGTCTAAGTGAGGAGCTCACAGAAGAAGCATTTAGTGAGTAATACTTTTTAATTTATCATGTTATTACTACAGCTTTTATAAATACAGCACTTCTGTCAGGCATCAGCATTCGTACTTGAGGAATATATCCTGGACTAGTAATAGCTCATGTCAACTGTGGAAAATTTGTAAATGCATATATTAGTGCTTGTATACACTTAAACACGGGTTGTAATGAAAGGTGCAAACCTTTTTTTTCTTTTTCCCCAGTAGCTACATATTGAGGCCCCACCCATTCTACTTGCAAGACTCTTGGGGGAAAAAAGTAAAATGAACTCCTCTTGGTGACTTCAGGAGCTTATCTTTGAGAAATGAGGCAGAGAAGAAAATAATCTTTGTCTAATTCTAAAGAATTTAATATTTCTTACATTCAAAAGAATGCAGGTTGGCAGCTCGAAGGTGTAGGGTGAGGAGTGTCATGTACATTCAGCGTAGTTTTTCTTCCTTTTACTGTGGATTAAAGCCTGACAGTTTTTTGGGATTTGCACTGATCTTGTTGGTGCTGATTCTTGCATGCAGTCTCCACCTTGGCTTTTAAATGTTACGGACTGCTAATGTTGAACCTGATAGAAGAGGAATTAGGAAGCACAGCTCTCGTCCTATCTACTGACAAGATTTAGTTTTTTAAGTACATGATGAAATCACTGGTAAACCACCAAACTAGCAAAAATTCAAAGCCTGAGGACTAAAATGAGCTGCTCAGGATTGGAAATACACTTTGTTCTCAGTTTGACTTTGGCTGCATAAAACAGTGCAGTCTTCTCGGGTCTCTTCTAGCCTGGAAGAAGAGCTTATAAAACTGGCTGGAAATGAAGAATCTAAATCTAAATATTGCAAGGGTCCTTTGTAATATTTAGATTTAGATTCTTAATTTCCAGACCTTGGAGCCTCAGTGTGCTCTTTGAAAAAACTTAGGTTGCTGTGACTTGAAAAGAAATACTTTAAAAATGTCCTCACAGGATTAAGGGTGCAAATTAAGGGTGTAATACTGCAAGGTTGCAGTATTAAAGGAAAGTTAAAAAAAAAAAAAAAAAAAGGTTAAATAATCGATCCTGTCAAGTGCTGCAGGTATTTCCCTCCACAGGGCCAGCTATAGCTCTGTCTGGAATGAATGATGGTGTCACTGCAGCAGTAGCAGTGATAGCTGTGCTTCTGTGGCATAACCCTCAGCTCTTTGTGGTGGCCTCATGCCAGGGCTGGGTCAGGGACTGTCCATTAAGCTGTGTTGGATGTGGAACGTGCACATTGAAGGGCAGCAAATTTTGGACCTGCCAGAGCCACTCTCACTAATCTTAATGCATCTCTTGGCCTGAACTGAAGCAATTGAAAATTTGTTCAACGAAGGAGGAAGGAAAAAAAAAATAATAACAACCCCAAACAACCAACCAAAAATCTAATTACAAAACCCTCAAGCATCAACTTTCAAATGAAAATGGTTAGGATTATGCTGTGCTTTCAGAATTTTGTATTGGTTATACATCTTTTTTATATTTAGTAAGTACATGAACAAAGCCTCATTATTTGTGTCCTAGGGGAAAATCTGCTACAGTGACAACCTACAGTATAAGAGTTGTGCTGCTTTGCTTTCAAATAGCAGTTGTAAGGCACCTACTCTGAGTGTGAGAGCTCAGATGACGTATTGTGAAGGTCTACCTTGGAGCATTACTCTCTGTGTTTTCTCTCGGTATCTCAGAAGTACTTTTTACTCCTTTTGTTGGCCTTCTCTTTCCTCTGTGAAATCAGACTCTTCTATGTGCCCTGAAGGAGGTGCTGAAGTTGACCAATACAATGTCAGGCTCTAGCAGTGCCTTTTATTTTTTGTCATTGTCTATTCCTGTTCCTCTCTTCTGCCTTCCATGGGGCTTCCGTATTATGGAGTCCCTGATGGATCCCAGTTTATAAAGCAGCACAATGATTTGAGTTCCTCCCCCATGGCTATGCTCAAGTGCTAACTTTGTGTTTAAACAAACTGAATTCTCCAGGCTTGTTGGGATACTGAGCACTGGAGATGGCCTATTCAGTGGTCAGGGTGGTGAGCTCCACTCCATTTGCCTGTGTGCAGGTTCGGACATTCTGCTTACCCTCAGAGCAAAATCAAGTTGGATTTTATGTGTTCTGAATGGGAATAAACTTGTTCACTTGTAACACTTGGTAACAAGTGTGACTATACCAGTGTAGGATGGTAACTCAGGAGATTAATGGCTCTGTAGTCCTGGAGTGGATCACAGTTATTTAAAGGTGACAGACACATCAAACAAGGCTCTGTATATCAAGCAGTTCCTGCCTAATGTTTTTAAAATGCTCTTTCTTTCAGCTAACCAGTTGCCAGCAGGCTTAATAACTACAGATGGCCAACAGCAGAATGTTATGGTCTACACAACATCATATCAACAGGTATGATCCTGTATCTTGTCCTCTACTCTCCCTTCTGCTGCTAAAATCCAAACAATAGTTCAGCTGCTCTGTTCTGAAAGATGAGAATTAATTGTATTTAGTCCTTTGGCGGTGGCTGTCATGCCATTCCAACACTGAGAACTCATGACTGCTTGATGTGAACTGCTCTGCAGCTTCAGAAAACGTGCAGTGGAATGTAAGCTTGCATTTTCTTTCTCTAGATCTCTGGTGTTCAACAAATTCAGTTCTCATGATTTTGAAGAAAACTTTCCATCTGGGAACACGACACAGAAAACCTGTGCAACTCTAACGAAGAGGCAGTTTTAATGACTGGTGAAGAGATTTATCTCTTTGTATATTAAATAGCTGTAATGTAGCTACCAGAAGCTTGACTAATTGAGGTGTGAGTTCTGACTCAAATCTTTTTCATGATGATTTTAAAGAAATAATTGGATTTTAAAGGTATTAAAGTATTTTTGTTTTGTACAAGAGTTTGTTGCTCTGTATAACTCCTGTATGCATTGTATATTGCAATTTATTACTGTCAGAGATTTGTAGACAGTTTCTTATTTTCATATTGAATCATGTTACTTTTGTAATTCAGGTAAACAGCTGGGTTAATTCATGTTTACCCTTTGAATAAAATTGTAAGGGTAAAGTTCATTTTTGAATGCAAGTTGCCTTTATTATAAAGATTGAGTTAGTCTTGATTTTGTAACTTGTCTTGCATGACAACCTCAACTAACTTGACATGTCAGCTTATTTATTGAGATTTTGAAAGGGACTTTTTCCTCATGAAACTAGCAGCTCAAAAGAATTGCTGCAATTGTTTTTTCTAATGTAACTTCTGAATTTAAGGTTAATCAAAACCAATGAATGCTCTACTACATTTAGAGGTTTAGAGCTTATCAACAGTGTTAATGAAAGCACTGACTGTGAGATGCAGGTTTTCTTTTTTTAAATTTTTTTCAGTTGCATTAACTCTCCTTAGACTTACTTTGATGCTTTTAAGGTAGTCTTTCTGCTATTGAAATAACTCCTCCTTTTTATGTATGGCTTTTAGAATCCCAAAATTAGAAATCCAAGGGTAGGGGAATTTTATAGACCTTGTGGTAGAAGATCTCATTTTAACTTTTTACTGAAATGTTTTAACGTTTCTTGTGAGCCTGTGGGCACTCAAAAGTGGTAGTGACTTTGTGTCTGGGCTGCGTGTTGTGTGGGTGTGTATGTGCATGAGTGGCTGACAGCTGAACAAGTGATACAAATCTGAAATGGAAGACAGACTTCAGGTTTGCTGTCTCTTTCCTGGTTTTGCAATAAACTCTACTTAGGTAATGTAGTTCTATATATTTAGTGAGCTGTTCTTGGTAACATTGCTGTTTCTTTAATAATTGGGTGGGTAATTTTGGTGCCAAGTCTTAGCCTATTAGGGTAGGGGTGGGGGTTTTAGTAATATCTTACTCAGACTGGATTTTGGGACCTTCCGTATTTTTACTATTTCCAGTGGACTGAAATGTAATATATTAATTATCTTTCCACATACCTGTTATTAATTTAAGCAAACCACACTTTGAAACTTGATTGAAATATGATATCTTGCTGGTTTTGTTTTTTCTAAAAATAGTGAATGAAAAGTAACAGTTCAATATTGGGAAATTAGCATCACCTAAGATATCCCAGCTCTTTAGCTAAACAAAAACTTCATGTGCAGATTTGAGCAGTGTTTCCTACGAGTCAGCATCCTGCTGGCGGAGCCTCTGGAGGCGATCCAGTGTATTCTGGGCAGTCTGCATGGATGTTCTGGGCTTTGTGGCAGCCTGTCGTTCTTCAGCAGATATGAGTAAATGGAGTTTCTCATTAAATGTAAAACTGAATAACACAATCCCTACAAGAGCCCCTTCTGTTTGTATTCCATTTATTTCAGGCCAGCATAGCCTGTTCTTGCTGTTCCCAGATTTGCAATGGAAAAAAGCTGTGATACCAGCTAAGGAGAAGCTAGGAAATATTTGGCATTTTGATGTAGAGAAAGCAGGTTCAGGTGATCCCACACTTGCTTGAAACAGGAGAAATTTTTCAGGCTCCCCTCTCTGCCTTGAATTTAGGTTAAAGGTTAAAGTGTGTTAAGTTTGTGGTTTATACTCCATCATGTGAGCAATGAAGCTGATACTTAGTTTTTCCTTTTTCTTTCTTCTCCCCTCACCCTCTGAGGGCCAGGGACAAAACTGCATAACTTCTCATTCTCTTCCTGAAACTACAGCAGTAAAAGTAATAGTACAACACTTTGTTTCATGTCTCTCTGAAACCTTTCTCCTAATAAAAGTTTGCAGGGTACTGTAGCCATGGTACACCAAATAAAAAAAATGTGGTCTGAAGAAATACTTGCCTAATTTTATTAGCAGCAGCACAACCAGTGCATTCTTTATATTTGTTCAACAAATCTGTGTTCTCATCTGTGTTTGCTCTGTTTGGGTGTTTACAAGTAGCAAAGACCTGAACCAAGAATGACCATTCTTGCTACATCTCATCTGCTTCTACAAAACTCCTGTCTTTGGTCTTCTGAATGTTTTTTGAACTAAGATACCCCCAAACTGAGCTTCAGTTTGAGGCAGCTGTGGCAGCGTATGTTAAGACTTGGAGAAAGGCTGCTTGAAAAGCAGTGATGTTCAAAGATCTTTTTTCAAGAACAGTGATTTCTTTTAGGTGCCTTTTCACAACACAAGCAAGTTTTACCACAGTAATTTTTTGAAAAATGCATTTTTGTGTAACTTGATCCTTCTGGTATTTCTTTATAGGGTGCTCTTGGTGTCTTTAAAAGCACAGAAATGCTGTTCTCTCTAGTCCAAATGCAATTATGAGAAAAGCTAATTTAGATGGTGTTCTTCTACATCCCATTTTCATTACAGGCAAAATAGGAGCTGAGGCTCTGCCTTTCCCAGTCTTGTTGATGTACACATGCATTGTTAACTTTTATTTATTCCTCCCTTCTGATCTCTACTGAATGCTAAAATATGTGGCTGGATGATGTAGCCAGAACACAGATGGAGTTCTGGCGTGAGGTGGTACGTCCTAAATACCTACTGCCCCATGCTTATCTGCCTGTAGCTAAAAATCAGCCTGAATTATATGGGCTATTCTTTAAAGAGCTGTCTTCATTGAACTGCATTCTGGATCACTCTGAATGCTGTGGGATGACTCCTGTTGCAGAATTTGAGGATGATGCTCATGAACATGTTGTAGGCATGGAGAGGTGATTTCTATCTGGCCTTTGGAAGGAGAGGAAGCATGTGGGCAACTGCACACACAGAAGATTGCTGAGTGCTAAGCAAGGGGCAGAGCCAAGGGCTAGTGTTTTCCCCAGCACCTTGCTGTCATGATAAGGGTTGGCAGCAGCTTTGCTTATAGCTATAATATCCCTCATTTTGCAGAGCTCTGTGTGTGATTAATGGTCCAGTTAAATCACGGAGATTCGCTGCCTCAGTTACATTTACAGCAGTAAGACAACTTGCCTTTAAGTCACTGTATTACCAAATGGTGCAGGCTTGATGTTTTTGGGGTTTGATTTCTACCAAATAGAAGAAAGGAAGTTTTTCACTGAAACTATGAGTGAATTTTCTTGTGTCTGTAGATGAAAAGACCTCCAAAGCTGGATATAGATTCTAAGACAAGTAATGCTATAAGGAAACTATATATGCAGTCCTATAGAGAGAAGTTTGATAATGTTAACTCTAATGGTTCCTCTTATTTTTCCCCTGTTGCACTGGTGTGGTGAAAAGAGCAGTGGTGGGAGGATGCCTTTTGCATGTGGTACACTGTAAGACATGGACCTAGTTGAAAAAATCAACCAATTTTTCCTCTTTGAAAATCAGATATGCTATTGTGGCAAAATAATTCACACTTTCACCCTTTCAGAGGCTGAAAAATACATTTAAGCAACCAAATGTTGATCTGTTTACCTATTGATTTGTGAAATTGGCATGGTAATGGACTGCAATGTTACCTCTGACCCTCAGATGTAAAAGTTTAATGGGAAGCTCCCTGGAAACTGCCAGTTCAGCTTGCAGTGACATTCAAGGCCATGTGCTCTTGGGAGGGAGGGCAGTTTGCTGCTATGCACAATAGTCTCCAAATTGGTGCCAGCTGCACTGAGTTTATTAAATCCAAGTCCCCAAGGATGGCTGTGGAGGCAGGGCCAGAGTGATGCAGTGCACAGCAGGTCTGAGGGAGTCAGCTAGCCTGCTTTAAGAAATCTTCCAGGCAAATTTCCAGGCTCATTTCCTGGAATATTTTACTGCAGTATGCCAGGCCAGAGGGTCCATTTATCAGAGCAATGGCACCTGATTTGCTTATGTGTGAAAGAAAACTATTGAAGGTTTAAATCTGCTGGGCAGAGGAGCAGCCTTTGGGCTGCTAATTTAATGTATGTGTGCCTGATGCTTACCCAGCCTGTACAGCAACATGAACAGCAAATAAAACCACCTCCAACAGCACAACCAAGACTCCATTCATGTGCAAGGGCTGTGTCTCTCGAAATGCAGCTGCAGCTAAAACATTTGCAACAGTATATGCTATTTCTGAAACCCTATCTGCACCCTGGGCGAAGACAGTCCAGCACAGCAGAGCCCATGTCCCAACACTGTCAAGAGCAGCATGACACAGATAAAGGATGCTGGGATGCACAAGTTTGTTTCTGCACTGTTCAACTCCTCCTTGGCCCCAGCCAGGAAATCCAAACCCACCAGACACCTGAGCGCCCTGTGCAGTGTAACATCGTGGGAAAAGCAACCTGGTGAACAGGCAGATGTCAGGACCCAGCAGACAGGAAAAGCTAAGCACTGAGGGAGAAGGGGAAGGATCTGAAATCTCACCTCCAGCCAGCTGGAGAGCATTTCTGCTACAAAGAAACAGGCTCCAGCCCTGTGGGATGAGAACGTGGAGCCTGGGGAGGGCTGCAGCAGAGGATGAGTCTGCTCTCACTCTATCCAAAACCATAACCACAGCCATGTTTTACAAGCCAAGCAGCTGAAACTCATCCAAAATGTTTCTGGAGTACATGCAGTGGGATCAAGTTCTGTACACACAAGAAGAAATATTGACAAGAACTGGCCGTTTTATGTTGTCTGGTTTGACAGCTCTCATGTTGCTTCAGATGGCTGAAACGTAAGTAGCTGAAATCTCAAGCTGCTAGATTGATATTTCAGGTTTTCTTTTTCAAGACAGTAATTTCAAAGAGTTACTCCCAGACTCTAAACGCTTTCCTTCTGGAGCAGGCAGCATTTAAAGTCAACATATAAAGTCTGTTTCATACTCAGGCAAAATACAATGAGGAAATAATTAGGAAACTGCTGCTAAAAAGAAGAGTTTGGGATATTTGTTAGTACTGCTCAAAGTTGCAAGATAACTGCTTGTACTAATAACTTTTTGTTAAAAGAGAATTACCAGCACTGCATGCAAGAGTGATGGTTACTCTAAAAGGCAGTTAAACATTTAAATGAGTGAATAGAAACAAAAAAACAAAAAGAGGATGCAAACTAAACCAACATTTTGGACCTTCTAAAAGGTTTTGAACCTTCTAAAATAGCATATAGCCAGTGTGCCTCTTTTAAGAATTGCTTTGAAATAACTGTATATTGATAACTTCCATGTGTGGATAACAGTATTTTATA